CACCGACGCAGCCCTGGGGGCCCGAGCACCCCATATTCCTGTTCTCAGCGATGACGTTCGCCTGGAGGGGATCTATAGGAGCAGGGGATGCAGACACTGAGAGGTTGGCTGTCAATCAGTACGTCTGATGAGGGAGTACGGCCAGGTGCTATGGAACATACCGAAAGCGATGGAGAGAGCAAAAACGAGAGTGAGGGTCTGGATGGCGCGTGCGTACATCATGAATTGTGCGGTTGACTGATAAAAATAAGCTGGTGGGTGGTATCTCGAGTGTGTGGTATATGGCCTGCGGACGGTGACGGCAGAAGTGGACTCGTCCGAGAGACGTTAGGACACGTTAGGGCGCGCAGGAGGTCGGTCAACGAACGGTGGGGCCTTGATGGTGGCCTGTTCTATTTATCTGTGTGATCATCGCTAGTCAATTTCTTTTTGGACAGTCCCTTGTACTTAAGCGGCGGGAGGGAGGAGACCGTGTTCTGGTATTCGTGAATCGTTGCAAAGGGAATGCCAAATGCGGAAGAATACACGTGGATATTACAAGCGCCCGTCGGCTTCCGCCTTTGTTGCCGACCACCACCTTGTTCATGTTATTGCTGCTCGTCAACGTCTGCGGTGTATACGAACAACGCACGCTGCAGAGGAATACCTGAAGCCTGCCATCCAAGCATGAGCTGACAAGGACCGTTGCCAAGGTATGCCCACAGCTGGATGCGGCTTCTTCGGCAAATTCGCTTCGACATGGGAGGAAATTCGGTCTCTTCCTGCTGAGTCGGAGCGACAATGCTGAGGTAAATCGACGACACACCAGCATCCTCTTGGGACGACGTCACGACAATCTATCATAGCCAAGCATTGCGAGGACTGTATAAAGGGTTCACCCAAGACGGTAAAACGCAGACGCGTCGGACAGAGGTTAGAGTAAAAGGTCTTCGCGTTCGTACAACATTGCTGATGACAGTAAATTCGACTCTAGGCGTCTCGCCACACCGCTCTATCGCCACACTGAGATGATACGCGTTGGCACTTGACCAGTGAGCGAAAAATACGGCTGAGGGAGCGCAAGCGCCCCCAGCTCCTCGTCGAGATATCGCGGCGCAGGTGTGCTGTCACTCGCGCCCACGTCCCGTCTTTCGTCCTCTGGAGGAAGAACTGCTCTTGCAACGTTAGTTTAGCCGCCTCGGCTTGCCCCGGAGCTGCGTCACTCACGAGTTTCGAGCTGGAGCCCGAAGACAAAGTCGAAGGCCGCCTTCATCACGTCGATGAATGTCATTCTTCTGGTGTGTGTGGATCGGGGAGGCGAGGGCGAGGAATACGGCGGCTTCTGGTGAGTTGGATCGCTCCTGTTTGCACGGTACGCTTTTCTATGAGCTGCGTAGACAAAAGGCTTTGGCCGTCTAGCGAGGCCGTATGCGTGCTCAATCACATCTGCAGCACAGTTGTGAGCACCGCATGTTAAAATGTGCGTATAGAAACTGTCAAGAACAGCTCTTTGTGGATTCTTTATGCTACGAACTGATATCCGAGGTATGACAAGCAAATGCCTTTGGCTATCTTGGTCATGTATCGCCGTTTTACTATGCTCGTTTGATGACTCCTACACACTACACCACGTGTGGGGTTTGGAATGGCTTTGAGGTGTGTATTGGACGTCACTGAGTAGAGATCGTGGCGCGTGCCAAGACCCACGTCTCGCCTCACGTCGTAGACGTATATCAATATTCGAGTTAGACATTCCTTTGCGTTGCACATATTACGCTGTGCTTTCATGTTCTCTGATTGCAGGTACGAAGCAATTCTACGCGTCGAACGCTATGCCGAAACCCTGCTGACTAATGCTACTTCATTTTGGTAGCCCACGTTCGGATGCCACAGGAACGCAGACCGGCCCGCAGTGTTGACACAGCTGAACGCGGTCACGTTGTGAAACGCGATCGCGGAAGACCGACGAGTTCGAGGTATCATATCAGCCCCTCGTGGGCGATAGACGATAAGCCCGGATTTACTCAGGCTTTGCGTCCTTATCTCGCTGAACCGCGGCCGCACAATGTAATGTTGCCGATACGGTGTCCCATCGGATTCATGACCGAGCGCCTTGGAAGAGCTTGGAAGGCGCGAAGGACGAGGTGCAAGACCGTTATGCCGTACTGTCGATAGCCGCCACCGTTCAAAATGGTTCATGACTCCGGGCTCGCGCGCCGCCCACGCCGTCAAGCCGTCCCGCTGCGGGGTATAAAGACGGGCGCGCGTCGCCTGGCTCGCTGGCCTCTCATCCGACGCGTGTCCGACGATGAAGATGCAGCTCAACGGCGTTCTCGCGGGCTTCGCCATCGGCCTCGCGACCCTCAGTGCCGTTACGGCCGTCCAAGTCAACATCCAACACACCGGACGGACGCTGACTCTGGGCAATGTCTCGTACTTCGTGCCGCCGACCCCGGTGTCGACGCTGAGCAATGCGGCACTTCTTGTCAAGCCCGCGTCCGGAGGCCTGATTCCTTTTTCGGTGATCCCGACTTCGAAGTTGGTGTTCGACGAGAAGGCGTTGGAGGATACCGTGTCAATATGGTCTGCCCGCGATGACGTCTGGAGCGAAGCGTTCTTGACAGGTATGCCTTCAGCAGTCTGTAGTCGTGACGTACGCTGACATACTTGTGCGCTGTGAAACAGGCGTGTACGTTACTTTCAATGGCACACGCGGGATACCGGCAACATCCCTCGTGAGCGCGCAGAAGAAATTCGGCATCGAGTTTGTGCTGCGTTCCAAAAGCTTCTTGCTCGGTGTCGATCTGAAGACGCCGCTTCCGTCGGGGCCATACTTCTTGGAGCCAGCGACCGGCAACATCTTCGAAGGTCAGATCCCGCGTCATGTCAGCGTTCAGGGACTTGTATCTGAATAATCGCGCAGCTTACCGTCTATACAACGACGAAAACCAGTCTTTCCTGTACGGAACGGTGCCCGACGGCGACGGCGGCTACCAGATTCTCTCTGCCCGGGCTCCGGGTGCGGCAACAGAGACCATCGGCGTCCTCTCGCGGTTGTACTTCACCCCCACCGCCGCGAAGCCGCTCGCCGGGTTCCGTCTTGCCGTGAAGGACATCTTCGACATCAAAGGGCTGCGCACCGGGTGCGGCAACCGCGCGTTCTGGCAGCTGTACGCGCCCAAGACGCAGACTGCCCCAGCCATCCAGCGGCTGCTCGACGGCGGGATGGTGCTCGTGGGCAAGGCGAAGACGTCGCAGTTCGCGAACGGGGAGACGGCGACGGACGACTGGGTCGACCTCCACGCGCCCTACAACCCGCGCGGGGACGGCTACCAGGACGGGAGCAGCTCGTCAACGGGGCCCGGGACGGCGACCGCGGCGTACCCGTGGTTGGACTTTGCTGTCGGGAGCGACACTGGAGGATCGATGCGCGGCCCGGCTGGCGCGAACGGCGTGTTTGGGAATCGCCCCTCGCATGGCGCCGTCAGCTTGGACGATGTGATGCCGCTCTCGCCCGAGTTGGACACGGCGGGGATCTTCTCTAGGGACGCCAAGAAATGGGCGACCGCTGGTCAATGGTGGTATCAGAACTTCACTTCGGTCAGTCACAGGCAGTATCATTGCGGCCTTCAGGTGCTGACCTGTCATTACAGTTCTCGCAGTTCCCCAAGAAGATCATCTTCCCCACAGACTTCTTCGGTAGTAGCTTCCTGACGAACCCTCCCGCTGCCGGCACGGCTAGCGCGACGTTCAACACGTTCATCACTAGGCTCGAAGGCTTCTTGAACACCACACGGACCGAAACTTCGCTGGCCGGCATGTGGAACGCCACGAAGCCTGCGAACGTCTCGGCGCCGACGTTGCAAGCGTTGCTGTCGACGACATACGCGGACCTCATCACCCTCGACCAGATCGCGCTCGTCGCGGACCCGTTCTTCGCAGACTTCGGCGCCGCCAATGGCGGGCGGACGCCCTTTGTCAACCCCGCGCCGCTCGCTCGCTGGGGGTACGGCCGCGCACTGCCGGCCGGACGCAAAGAGGAGGCCTTGGCGAACAAAACGATCTTCATGGACTGGTTCGCGAGCAAGGTCGTCAAGGCGGGCGATCCGAAGACGTGCGCGGACGCGATCTTCCTCTACCCTCAGAGCTCCGGCGGAACTAACTATAGGAACCGTTACATCAGGTATGTCTTTGCCCGGGTCGCTGTGAAGTGTGATCGCTAACGTGCTTCTCCCACAGCGCCCCCACAGCGCCCATTGGATTCTCGTCGGGGAGAATCGCCGTCCATGGGGAGGTCCCGGACATGGTCGTGCCTAGTGAGTCCTGTGTGGCTGGTATCTGGAGTTGAGATCCTGTGCTGACTGCCTCACGTAGTCGGTGAGGCACCTTTCAATTCGACCGTCACTGGGCAAACAGAATTCCTCCCCGTTACACTGAGCTTCGTGACTGCGAAGGGATGTGTAAGTGGCTCCCGTTGTCCGATTTGCTACCTGGACCTAACGCGGATTGTCTCAGGACCTTATGCTGTTCAACCTCTTCGCCGCGTTGCAGGACGCGGGAATCATCAAACCTGTGGGAGCAGGGTCGCGGTTGTTCGCTTAGTAGGTGTACGGCTCTGTGAGGGATGCTATACGTATGCCGCGATTCGTGTAAAAATTCCAGAGGACGCTCTGCATGAGCAAAAATCTAATGTTGAGTCGGTTGAATTCAAACGCGCGCTGCGGACGTCGCGGGAACAAGTAATCGAAAGTCCATGGTCAGAGCGCGGCCACATGGTAAATTCACGATGATTGAATATATACGTAGAAAGCTGCAACGATGGCGTGAATACAGAGCACCGGCACCTACCGCTGCAGCCGCCCCGCTACGGGGGCAGTAGTAGTACCCGCTCGTACTGGTAGGTATCATGTCCGTAGTATATATACTGCTCTAATTATGAATAAGTGCTATACATATATATACATGTGCTGCAAGGATTTCGTAGGACGATAGATCGGCGGACGGGAAACCAGCAAAATAATTTCCCGCTAGCCGACTTGAACGACTGACCTCGTCATTTGGTTTTTGTATCAGGAGATAATACTAGTGACGCGCTCTACCAGCTGAGCTAAGCGGGAGTTACGAGAAGGAGCTGTAACCACATTACATTTAGATTGTGGCGTGGGTGACGGTAGCCGGCAACGACTTCCTTCAATGATGTACTATGCATCATAGTACACCCCCTCCACTCCCGTATTACTCTGCACTCTCTGTCCGGGACTCGTTCGTTGATGCTCATCGACATCACATAAACTGGCGCGGACTCCTGTACGTTCAAGGACCCCAGATCTCCTGCTAATACTTATAGCTACGTACTCGGAATACAGACATCCCATACAGCTCGGAAGTGAATCACCTGCAGTGTGTTGCCCAGGATGAATTCGTACCCACCAGAGCTGCTCTATCAGCTGGCACCCGTAATGTTCGTCGCCGGACTCGACGCACAGACGCCGCAGACTCCGCAGCCACCGACGGATACACCTCCAACGCCGTCGGCTCAGCAGCCACCGCGACAAGACTCCTTCCAGGTGCTCGCACTCAGACTGAGGGACGCGTTGCGAGCGCAGAGAAAGATTGCCATTTGGCAGCCGGAGAAGTCTAAGACCTTCCATATCGTGCTTGTCGACAAGGTGCGCGTCCTTGACCGTTGATTGAAGTCAGTATGTGACAACACCGTAGGATATCCCATTCCCGCCCCGCAAAACAGTCCAACCAGATCACCCCCAGTACAACTCGTCCCACTCTCCTGTGTCACCCCTCACCCCTACATCACCGCTGTACCCTGACGGCATTATCGCACCCATATGGATTCGCAAGCATATGAACCTGCTCCCCTCTGTCTTCGTCATGTTCATGCGCATATACGAGTCTCCGCCGCCCCAAACCGGCCAAACAGAGCGAGACCGCGAAGTTGAGGAGAAACGACGCGATACTGAGCTTTCAGCGGAAATCGCTCAAAGAAAGAAGAGCACGAACGAGCGTGGCTTGAAACTAACAGTCGTACTTATGGCCAGCCGACGAATGCTTGGTGGGTGAATATGCTGGCTCCAGCTACTATTCACACCACTAACGGGATAATAGACGACCCAACCTTGGACGGGCGGCTTACCTTTATTAGGAGACAGAGCGGGTTGGATCCCCGCGCCGCGTTATTCGTCCTCAGCCCGGTCTCTCCTGCTGAGATTGGTGAATTTGTGCGCAGGTATGTCGCATAATTCAAGCAAATTGCAGACTGCAGACCTCCATCAAACAGTTTGCAAGACGCCTTATGGGAGCCTGCCCTGGACTACTACACAAACCACTCGAAGCGTGTTAGGAGGAAGCGCAATAGGCATTCCCAGGCTACCTCTTACCAACTTCCGCTGTCCCCGATGGCCAGCGCAGGTGTGGCGCGACCGCTTCGTCCCGAAGGATGGACCGTCCGATACGAGTATAAGATGGCGTGTTTTGCCGAGTTCCGAGGAGAGGATCAGGTTGCGCTGAAGTAAGTGGGACGTCTTGTACGGTTGTGCGATTTGTCTGAGAAACTTCAGGCATTATCAGGACGCGTATTCGACGCTCATCATAATGTTCGGCTCCACTGCCATTCTGCCTCCCCGCACCAAGCGATGGGCTGAAGCTAAAGTATTGGCAGACTGTATCAACGTCAAGGTACGTAGCCCCTGCTTGTACACACTCCGTCTGATAGTAAATACAATCGTGCAACAAGATTGTGAAGTTGTACTTGTACAACAACGAACATGCGCTCGCTCTGTCGCACCAGAATAGCCACATGCGGAAGTTTGCTGATTTCTCACGTGGTTGGGGCATTGGTGAAGAAACGTTTGAGTTTTGGAGTTGGCTCGCCCGCCAGTGAGTCGTCTACCTCACCCACTGAAACTCTGGGTTGACACGGCCAACGCAGACATCGTGTGTTTGCTGAGCTACTTGAGCAAGGTACACGCTCCACCCTCAAGATCCCGTCTGCCTATCCGACTCCTACACCCTCGCCTGCAGTCCTTGCGGGGCAATCTCTGGAGGCGTCGCAGATGGGACTCGACGTGATGCGGGTACTTGGTATCAATCCGAACCAGGCTCTGCAACACCCGGGCTTCTATTACTATATGGCTGCGCGGTGCACAGAACGACGACGAGAGCGATTCCTCCTAGCGGTTGAGTCTGAGGTAGTGTATATGCACTCGTTAGTGCAACGGGCCTTCTGACGTTACATCCAGGGAGATGGCCAGCAGTCGAATTCGCCCGGATTCGTCAATGAAAGGAAGGTAGATCACCTGGCTATCGTCTTGGAGGTCAGCATCACACGCCTCGTCATGCTCGTGCCATACTCACGACATGCTCATACAGCTGTACACTCGCGCATATGAGCTATTCAAGAAGTGGAGCCCACAAGGCGTACAGAATCTAGGACGCCTGACACTGTGGATTGCGTACCGTATTGCTCAGACATACTACGAGTCAGGCAAATTCGACATGGCTGTTAGGTTCGTAGGCGACGTATATCATAGGAGTTATTCTGATGTCTCATCCCGTATCAGGTTCTTCGAGCGCATCGCTAAGACGTACCGCAAGGAGAGCTGGGAGTCGCTCCTCCACCCGTTGCTCTCGCAGTGGTATGCTTGTGCACAACAGCTCGGCGACATGGAGCTTAGTGTGAAGCTATTGACTGAAATGCTGGCTTACGGTTCGTCCGACGTCACTTCATAGCGCTATTGACCATTAAGTGGACATATACTATGTAGGTACGAATGCCTCTGCAGATGACCGCGATGCGTTGCAGGAAGACCTCCTTGCCGTGCTCAAGGTTGGTCTCTGTTTCACGTGTATGACTAGCGCTGATCATCGGTGTCGGTGCAGAGCACCGTGCCTGCTAGTACTGAGGAGCCTGTCGTCGTGGATCTCTCTGACTCCAAACCTATCCGTAAGTGCCTAAAGACATCGTGAGCGGCTAATGGCTCAGGAAAACCTCTGCAGTGGATGTATCAGTAGTATTCTGGGATTCTGAAATCAACGTCGGCGAGCAGGCGCCGTTCCAGATTCTCCTGTCATCTCAAACACACGTCTCTTTGTCGTCAATACCGTTCACTCAGCTCGCCATTCACTTCAACGCGGACGTGCCGCCCGTCGTGGTTGAACACCTGCAACCTGATCTGGATGCCGGTATTCCCTCTGTGCAACGGTTTGACTTGGGACTACTGGTTGTGTCTCCTGTGGTCGCTGAACCGATCGAGAAGCAGGCTGTATTGCGATGGGGCCCCCAATCGACGATTGTGTTCACTGGAATTGTTTCGTCCCCCCTGCCCATGCACATCACAGTACGCGCTCGTTCTCGCTGCTTTCGAAATCGTGATGCTGACCGAGTGGCAACAGGTTTCCAAGCTGGTATTCACGATTAAAGTGAACAGCTGGTGGATAGAAGTGCCCATCGTGCCCGAGGCCACCAGGGACGAGCACGCGCTCATCGCCGCCCGCTGGCTCTCTGCGCTCAATCCACCGCGCTTCGTTCCGATTCGCCGCCAGGATCACTCGGGGGTGAAGGTTCGCTATCGCCCCCACCAAGTGCAGGTCGCGATTTCGCACGAGGGGCCAGCGTATATAGGGGAGGAGTTCCCGATCGAGATCAACATCACGAATCAGGATGACAGGGAGCTGGATGTGGTGCTCGATGTTCTGTTACAGCCTACGGAGATTGACGAAGCAGGTGAGCAACCCACTATGGGCTGTTGCCATATCCTGCGGGTACTGATACAGCACATTATACAGTGAACCACATCGCGATGGACGACCAGCGTTCTACCAGTTTGCTCAAGGCTGTCGCATGTGGTGTGCTCGCCCCGGGGGTAACCGTGCTGAAAAAGCTGTTCCTCGCTAACACCGGTGCCCCTGGGGACCGCGTCATCGACATCTCGGTGCAATCGCATTCGACCGCGCAGCTGCCCGTCTCGCCCACCTCTCCCAAATCGCCGACTAGCCCCACCGCACCTTCGACCGTCGACAGAAGCGAGACTCTGCGTACGCTTACGATTGACGTGACGCAACCCGTGCGGATCGAGCATGCCGTCACATATAAGCGGCCGACCAAGCCCCAGCCAGGGCTGGCGGACCTGGCGACGTTCGAAGGCGGGCATAGGGACGAGGCGGCGGCGGTTGAGGCCTTGGTCACGAGTGTCGTCTCGATCATCGCACCCTCGGGCCTGGTCATCGAGGATGTGGTATTGCATCGTAAGGTTAGTTCGCACAATACACTCTTCAAGGCATTCCCGCGTTAAGTATACCTGCAGGATGATGAACTCGCAGAAGTTATTGACTGTTCGGTGGATCAAGACGACTTCAGCGGAGGTGCGTGAATCCCGCGCTGTGCCAGGCCCGGTGGCTCATGTGCGCAGAGTGGCTCGCTGGCGACGAGCTGTGCGATAGATGCCGGGTCAGCGTCATCCCGGATGAGGAGCATCCGGAGGAGACCATCCCTGGCCCCGGAGACTACGAGGTCACCTGGAGAAGGCAAGTCTACCTTCCACAGTCGCACGAACGACGCATCTCATGCATGTGTCCCCCAGGCTCCTCCGAGACGGAAGTCACGGCTCGCGCTCATCAACGCGCTTCCCCCTCCCCCCACTCTGTCCCCCCTCCGACGGGCTCATCGCACTCCTCGACGCGCCGACGACCGCGCGCCTCCACACGCCCATCCCCCTGCGCCTCACGCTGCGCAACCGGCACCCGACGCGCACCGCGACCGCCACGGTGCAGCTCGAGCCCGACACGGCCGACGCGTTCGTCGTCGCCGGGCTCCGGCACGGACGCATGCCCGTGCTCCTCCCTGGGCAGGAGGACGCGCTCACGTGGAACCTGATCCCGCTGCAGTGCGGTCTCGTGCGCATCCCGCGCGTCAAGGTGCTCGACCGGCGCAGTGCGGTGCAGCTCGCGGGCGGCACGCCGCCGCCGGGCGCGGGCGGGGCGGACGCGGTGCAGACGGAGGGCGACGAGGTGGAGATCGTGGACGTGCGGTGGGATGGACGACCTGAGCGGATCGAGGACGGGGATGGGAAGGAAGTGCGGGTCGCGAAGGGGCACGAGGCGTACG